AATTTCGTGCATTTTCCGTATATTTTAAAAGGGGCAATCCTCTGTATAATCCTGGTATCAGCCATGCTCAACGTCGGAAATTGTCATGTCCGATATTAAATGGAAGTAGAGATCGGTGTTGCGCCAAGAACCTTTGAAATATACAGAAAATGCACGAAATTAGCACCTCCGTCTTCCTGGCAAAGCTCAAGGGCGCATTGGCGGAAAAGATCGCTCCAACGACAGCTCCTGTAGCGGCGCAGCCCTCACAGTCTCAGCAGAGATTGCCGGACATCAGCATCCCGTCCTTCAAGGGCGTGTACGAGGCATGGCCTACGTATCGCGATCTCTTCAAGGCGGTTATTTATGACAGTCAACGGCTCACAGACGTGGAGAAACTCTACTATCTGCGGCTCTCACTAGAAGGCCCACCTGCTCAGCTCATTTCCGGTTTGCCTCTCACCGGCGACTCGCTCAAACCATCCTGGGAAATGCTCGTCGACTGCTACGAGAACTAGCGGCTGCTTATTCAGTCTTATCTGGACCAGCTCTTCGCCAGCTCAACACCGGTGCAAAAGAACGCCAAGGCACTGGACCAGCTGCTCAACACGTTCAAGGAGGGCATCAAGGGCCTACAATCCTTGGGCGTCTCGCAGGATCTCGGCGACTGCGTCCTGGTATACCAGTTGTCTAGGCAGTTGGATCGCCAAACCAAGGAGCAGTGGGAGACATCGTTGGGCGCCGCGTGCGAGTATCCGCGATTCGAGAAACTCGAGCAATTTCTCACCTCGCGAGCACGAGCACTCGAGAGATCGAATCAACGGCCAGCTCAAGAAGCTCGGCAGGGGCTGCTTCCACAACACGGCGCTCCTCGACGGCTCATCATGCGGCAGCTCAACAGGCACGCACCAATACATCAGACGGCTCAACGGAGTACCCGTGTGACTGCTGTAACGGCACGCATCATTCAACGCTGCACCACAGGAATGGCCGCATCTCACCAAGTTACCCTTGGCGGATCCAGATTTTCTGACACCACGGTCAGTGGATATTATCATTGGAGCTGACTCATATCGGCAGATCATCAAGCCCAACATCATCAAACGGGATACATTGATGCCAATTGCGCAGTTCTCAATCTTTGGATGGCTCGTTCTCGGGCCTGTCGACACATCATCATCGGCATCTGCTGCAGTGCATCATGCATCGATTCAGGAGAGGGAAGATGCTCTCGACGAGTTACTATCGAGATTTTGGACACAGGAAGAAGTGCCTGCGAGCAACAATTTTGAGCTTACTCCTGACGAGCAAAGATGTGAAGAACATTTCAAGAGTACTGTCTCACGGGATTCAACAGGTCATCAATTTATGACAGAATATCGAGATCTCAACCACATGAAGAAAGCCTCACCCGTTTCCAGTCAGCAAACGCAATATTATTTGCCACATCACGGAGTGCTCAAACCAGACAGTGCAACCACGAAATTACGTGTGGTATTCAATGGCTCGAGCGCATCCACATCTGGCCGCTCACTTAATGATATAATGCACACGGGAGCCAAGTTGCATTTAGACATCACCGATGTCTTGCTCTGGATTCGACAATTTCGACACCTAGTTGCCACGGACATCACCAAGATGTATAGACAGATCAACGTGCATGAAGATGACTGGAATTTACAACGGATTCTCTGGCTCGACGAACTGCTCAATGAAGTGGCATATTATCTAACCACGGTCACGTATGGCACCAAGACTGCCCCGTTCTTGGCAGTACGAACGCTGCTGCAACTGGTGAAGGACGAAGGCCATAATTTTCCTCTTGCAGTGCCGTCCATCCTTCAAGGTCGATACGTCGACGACAGCTTTGGAGGCGCTGACACTGTCCAACAGTTAATCAAAATTGCATTGCAGCTGAAGAACTTGTGCATGGCGGGCGGCTTCCCCTTGGCCAAGTGGCACGCGACTCATCCAGACGTGCTCACTGCGGTTCAAGCAGAGAAAGACCAGGGTTCACAAATTACATTTGACGATTGCGCAACCAAGATACTCGGATTACGATGGCTTCCTCAAGAAGATTCATTCGCATTCGCAACAAGGATCTCGTCGCATACCGATCATCTCACCAAACGCCTCGTTTTGTCTGAAGTGGCTCAGATATTCGATCCACTAGGCTTTGCATCACCAGTCGTGATCAAGGCGAAGATGCTCTTGCAGGAGCTTTGGCTTCATAAGCTCCAATGGGATGAACCACTGCCATCCCAGCTCTCATCACGGTGGCTCATCATCAGAAAGGAACTCACCAGCTTGCGCAAGATCTCAATACCTCGGTGGTATAACACACGGAGTACATCGACAGTGGAATTTCACGGCTTTTCTGATGCTTCTCAACTGGCAATGGCTGCAGTCGTATTTATCACCGTCCACGGCTCAAATGGCGCCACGATTTCATTGGTGTGCTCCAAAACAAAGGTAGCACCGCTCAAGCGGCTCACCATCCCGAGACTTGAACTCACCGCAGCTCTGCTGCTCTCAAGACTCATGCAATACGTTCAAGTCACCTTAAAGTTGAACGTCACAGCAACTCACCTGTGGACGGACTCTGTTGTGACACTCACGTGGATCAAATCTCATGCATCGCGCTGGAAGGATTTCGTGAGAAATCGGGTTTCTCAAATTCAAGAGCTCACTGCGAACGCACATTGGAAATACGTACCAGGTACGTCCAACCCAGCCGACTGCGCATCACGAAGATTAAATACTGCTCAACTCCAAAGTCACTCATTATGGTGGACGGGAGCACCGTGGATACTCACCCCTGAAGCTTGGCCATCTCAACCCGCGCTTTCGGACGAGTTGAGCGCGCATGAGGCTTGTCCTGGCATTGCGCTACATGCGGCCGCATCTCAACCGGAGTATCACTGGGACCTGATCTATAGGTACTCATCTCTCAACAAGTTATTGAAAATAACAGCTCTTTGTTTCAGATTCATATCGCTTCTGGGAAAGCGCCGACGCAAGCCACTGGACTTACACTCAGCTTTGGAGGAGGCCAGATTCTTCTAGATTAAGGCTACTCAAGCGGCATACTTCACGCACGAGATCAAGATGCTCACGGCCAACTCGAGACTACCAACTGCTCACGCATTCAGTCGATTGACTGCGTATATAGACGCTCAAGGGATCATCCGAGTTGGCGGCCGCTTCAACCAATCAGCACTAGCTCAAGACAGCAAACATCAGGCGATTTTGCCTCGCCACTCCCGGCTCTCAACTTTGATCATTTCACACGCTCATCTGCGTACCCTGCATGGAGGAACTCAGCTGACATTGGCTCATGTCAGGCAAAGTTACTGGATCATCGGCGGACGGGCTCCGGTGAAGTCTCATATTTTGCGGTGTGTCGTGTGTGCTCGGCAAAGGGGAATCCATGCTCATCAACTGATGGGCCAACTACCTCTCTCTCGGGTTACGCCGTCACGTCCGTTTACTCATACAGGAGTTGACTATGCCGGGCCGCTCACCATCAAAACATGGAAAGGTCGAGGTGCGAAAACATACAAAGGATGGATCTGTGTGTTCGTCTGTTCTCCACCTCCGCAATTCACCTCGAAGTAGTCAGTGACTACTCATCAGAAGGATTCATCGCAGCCTTCCGAAGATTCTCAGCGAGAAGGGGAATTGCTCAGACCATATACTCGGAATGCGGGACAACATTCATTGGAGCAGACGCCGCGCTCAAGAAAATGTTCATCCAGAGTTCACAAGAACATCAACGAATCGCTCAAATTCTACAACAGGATTGCACCAGATGGGAGTTCAACCCATCAGGCGCTTCACACATGGGGGGCAAGTGGGAGGCGGTGGTGAAATCCGTCAAGTTTCATCTGAGACGGACTATCGGGGAGACTGTACTCACGACGGAAGAACTCACAACGTTGCTTACGCAAATCGAGGCCATTCTCAACTCAAGGCCCTTAGAACCGCTGAGTGACGACCCGGAAGACGTCTCAGCGCTCACACCAGGTCATTTTCTCATTGGAGGTCCACTCACTACCATATCCGAGCCATCTCTGACCTAGCAACCTCACTACTATCTCGATGGCAGCTCATCCAGCAGCGTGTTCAACATTTTTGGGCACAATGGTCGGCTCATTATCTGCAGCGCCAGCAGGCGATATCCAAGTGGCATCATCCTAACAACAACATCAAGGTGGGGTCCATCGTGCTGCTCACCGACGAACGCTCTCCACCGTGCAAATGGCCACTCGCCAGAGTAACAGCTTTGCACCCCGGCAAGGATGGACTCACCAGGGTGGTTACCCTCAAGACGGCCACCACGACACTCACTCGGCCAAGTGCCAAGCTTGCCATATTACCCATCAACCAGGTGAAGGATCAAGAGTAAGAAATCATCAACAAGATTGCTGATGGCGGGCGGAATGTTCGCGATTCAGTTAACGTTGCGCCGTCCGATCAGATGGCAGCATCGATCGGGTAACGACGCTCGATCACCGCGGCAGCTTGCGCCCGCACGGGCGCGCTCATCGCCAACGTCTTCCTCGCACTTGTGCAAATGGCCGCGCGGTGACAAGTCGCATAACGTGTGCTCAGTACGTTTCGATAAGTGACTTCGGTTAATCGTGCACATCGCAGTGCCCATGCTGCTTAGACTTCTCATTTAAACTGTGAAATAGACCGCTCATCAACTTTGGTGCCTCAACACGACGACTCAAGCTCACACGTGCGCGAGTGCCGACCGCCACGTGTCTCACCGGCTCACGGGCGACTCACCACACGAGGAGGGCAATTGATATAATTGTCGCCCGACTTCAACGATCATACACAGACGTCTCATTTATACACCGCTCATCGATTCTCAAATCAGACTGTAACAATTTCAATACATTAAAGACGGCTCAGACCGTGGTCTGAGTTACACAAAATAAAGTGCATATTTAGTTAACACCTTTCACGCGCGTCCTTCTCATCCCGCTTCCATCGCCGGGATTAATCAGCGATTTCGCGAACATAGAGCTTCGTAGCAGTATTCCGTCCAATATGTTATTAAATAGATCGATAGTTCAAGAAATAATACAAAATTTAATAAAAATTTTTTCTTCGGGTTCGCGTAGTATTATAATAACGTGTCGTGACCACGCCGTAAAAGATACAGCGACTTACGCTATTAAATCAAAAATAAAAACAATGATAGAAATGTTCGTAACGTCTTTCACGCAGTTTGGAACAGACTACAAACGATTCAAATATTTTTCAACCCATGAAAACTTTATTCAACCAGTTGAACATATTTGCGGACGTAGTACCGCGGAATGTAGAAAAAATAATAAAGTTTCTGTAATATTAAAAAATCGCACGGCTGTTCATATTCCTATAAAGAATATATTACAAAGTTTCTTAGAATGTCCCGATGTATTTGATTCAATAATGCAATATTAGAATAACATTTTACCTAATGATCCGTTAACAAATATCCTTCAAGGTGAAATATGGAAAGAACGTGTTTCTAAATACTTCAATAAAATAGTACGCCCTTTAATCGTGTATTTTGATAATTTTGAGACGTGTACGTCACTTGGAAGTCACGCAGGTATATATAACGTAGGTGCAATATATTTTACACGTGCTTCTGTGCCACCAAAATATGCCAGTCGAATAGAAAATATTTTTCTTGCAATGTTGTTTTACAGTCAAGATCATACAGACGTTGGAAATAGATCAGTTTTTAACACGTTACGTACAGAACTAAAAGATTTAGAAACTAACGGATTATCTATTGAATTAAATGGCACAACATTACAAGTTTTTTTTGTAGTACGACTTATTCGTGGAGATAATCTAGGACGTCCGTCCATTTTTGGTTACCCTGAAAGTTTTTCAGCAACGTACTGTTGCCGCGTCTGTACTGAAAACAAAGAAAGTATTAAGAAACAACGTCATTTACAAGTAGGCTCTATCAGACAACAACTAGATTATATAGATCATATGCAAAATAATAAGTTTGGAATAAAAGAGGACGGTATATGGACGGAACCTTGATCATTTTCATGTTTATGTAAATATAAGTTGCGATCGTATGCACGATTTATTTGAAAGTGTTTCGCGCTGTGACATGGCTTTACGTATACATTATTTTATACAACAAAAATATTTTTTATTAACAACGTTAAACTCTCGACGTAAATATTTTTCTTATACGAACTATGAACAAAATAAACCACCTTTAGTAAGTAAAGAACATTTAGCAAATGGCTGTATTATCTTTTCGGCATCAGAACGGCTCGGTCTAGTGAGAAACTTCAATCTAATACGTGGTGATCTACGTCCAAAAGAGGATAAAGTTTGGTACGTTTCGTTAGTTGTTAAAAAAATAAATGATATAGTTACGTTGACACAGCGATCGAGTACGGACGTACAATATTTAAAATATTTACGAAGTGAACACCATGACATGTATCTTTTCTTATTTACGCCATTTCTTAAACCTAAACATCACTTTTTATTACCGTATCCAAACATAATAAAACAACGTGGACTACTCATGCCGTTCGCTTGCATGCGTTTTGAAGCAAAACATCAAGAGCTCAAAAAGACGGCAACTAATGTACGAAGTAGAGGAACGTTGCCCGTAACATTAGCTAAAAAAAATCACGTAAACTTTCTTCATAGATGTATGTCAAAAGTAGGTTTATCCGACAAACGAGAGCGTGGAAAAATACTAAATATTACGGCAAGGTGCTCACGACCCGGTTTGTCTTGTACGTTAGATAACTATTATGAAATATCTTGGTTTAAAAAAAACGGTATAAGATTCACAAAATACACGATAATATTTTTCGATAATAAAGAAAATGTTCCTGTATTTCTTAAAATTATTAACATTTTTTGTACGCAAGAAAATAACGTTCACGGCATATTTTTATGTCAGGAACGGAGAACTGTTCAGTATATTTCGCACTGTAAAGCTTATGTTGTAGATGCCTTATATAAACATACTTTCTTTTCTTTATCTGAACGAGAGACTTGTCTTCCATTAAATGTTTATATATTACAAGATGGTAAAATATATATAAATATAACAGAAAAATAATTTTTTTATTTTAAATACGTTTATTCCACTAAATAACACGGTCAGTCGTGTTTGTCCGTATATTTTCCACTTAACATAAAATATTGTTTGAAACGAACGAAGCGCTTCTTACATACGAACTTTTTAAATCAACGCGTATTTAACACAAAGTAGTAGAAAAAGCGATAATAAAAAAAGGGAACAGTTTGTCTCCTATCTCGTAGTAGTTTCGTCTTCATTACGATAAAAGCGTTATGCGTAGTATTTAAGTATGTATACGTGCTTCAGAATGTTTTAAAGATCTTTTCTGCGCACTAGCGGAGAACGTTTAGATTTAAGGATAAAAGATAATTAAAATTAATTTCAAGATGTCCGTCTTGATACTTGTTAAATTTTTTTGTAAGCGAGGAACAATATTTTACTTTCATTAAAAAGTATATAGATACTTTCTTCTATATACTTTTTCCAAATACTTACGTTCGTTCTGCGTTACGTTTTCTATCTAAAATAAAAAGCAATGTTTTATTTGATGTCGTACCACCAAAAACGTGTCATGTAGGTATACGACGTATTTGTTTCATTATAATACCATAATACCATTTATTTGTTCTACGCGCTTATATATTTCGGCTTATGTAACATGCACAGTATGTTTTTGCAACGTTATAATAAAGTTTTTAACGTTATCTCTGTATGTTTGTAAATATGATATGATCCTTATACAGAAATATATAATATCGTCAAATTAAAAAACTTTATATAAAATTAATATTTCGTATTTAAGATTAAGAACAAAGCAAAATTATACGTTGAGATGTTAATTTTTTAGTAGAATAATAAATTCGTAAGGTAAGCTTACGGTACATTCTCATATTCTTAAATTAAAAAGTACATTCTGTAAAATGAAACATTTGTATCGACGTCAGACTTCGTTACGCGTACAAAACAGAAAAATTAAAATTTGAGATACGCTTTTATTTCAGTTGAACGGTACATTTCTGTATGTCGTATTTAGCCCGTTTTCTTGATAGACACGTCGTGCTTTTTATATATTGAGTATCAAGAGAAATGGTTAAATAATATATGCAAAAACGTACGTTTCAACTAAAATAAAAAAGCGTAGTACGTCAAATTTTAACGTTTCTTTGTTTTGTACGCGTAACGAGGTCTGACGTTGATACAGAGCTTTTTAATTTAAGAAAATAAGACGGCGTTAAGCATATCTTATTCTTATATTGTTGACATAAGTACGATACCCTTATGAAAATGTGCCCTTCATTGCCATTAAAAAATGCCATTGAATTCCCATTGTTCCAGACGCAATGGAAATGAAGGCATTTTTGCCAAAGATAAAAAGTTTCACACAAAATCCCATTGGTATTGCTATTGGTATTGCCATTGGTTTTGCCGTTGGTATTGCCATTGGTATTGCCATTAGTATTGCCATTGGTATTAACACTGGCAATACCAATGGGATTTTGTGTGGAAATTTTTATCTTTGGCAAAAATGCCTTCATTTCCATTGCGTCTGGAACAATAAGAATTCAATGGCATTTTAATAAATGGTACTATTTTGTCTTTAATATAAATGCCTTCATTTCCATTACAATTCACACTGAACATTGGCTGAAGTAGAAAAATTCCATACAAATTTTATCCTTCATGAGTCATTGGCAGTTTCCATTACGCCTGTATGGAAAAGGTTGTTATTCGAATCTTGCCATTGCGTTTCCATTCATCTTATTGCCACTCAATATTTTCCATTAACTTTTCCATATAATTCGTATTGCAAGTTCCATACACAAGTTTTAACCTTCATAAGCCATTAGTAGTTTCCATTACGCCTGTATGGAAAAAGTTGTCATTCGAATCTTGCCATTGCGTTTCCATTCATCTTATTGCCACTCAATATTTTCTATTAACTTTTCCATATAATTTGCATTGCAACTGTAGGGCAACCATACATTCCCACTGACCGCCATTGAGCACTCAAGGGCACATTTTCATAAGGGTAGTGCGTTGCGTTAAGATTTAATAGTGTTAAATGTAATATTAAATTATATCAAAATAACACTTTAATCTTCTTACGACAACTTTTTTTCGTGTTGAAGGAAGATGTTTTTCTTCGTAAGCTACGTATATTGTATTCTTCATGTGACACGTATATTATTGAACGAAGATTGTGATTGTATTGAACGTTAATATTATCAAATTCTTAGAAGAAGACTACATATTCTTGCGTATATACGAAACACGGATTGCGTTGATTTAAGTATGTAAGTTTTGGTTTAACACTTTTTTTTTTCTGTGCGTT